GAGCGCCTTTCGTTGGTTGAGCGCCGTCATGCAGTACTGCGCCGTGCCTGTGAGGTCTACATGGATGACCGCAAGCTCAACGACGCTGCTGGCATCAAGGAAGCACTTTGCTATGTGATCCCACAGCAGAACGCCACACCTGCAGTTGCTGGCTTCTCGCCCAGTCAATGGGTTCTTGGCTTCCAACCTGAGCTGTCCCACCTCATGGACTCCAACCTCAATGCAGCTCAACTTGCTGGCAACAACAGCTCATTTGAGGAGAACCTTGAGCGGCGAACTGCTGCAAAGATGGCACTGGCATCTGCTGATGCTGACTCCAAGCTGCGACGAGCTCTCAGTCGCAAGTACCAGGGCCAGAATCGAGTTTTCCAGTTGGGAGAAAGAGTATGGTTTTGGCGTGATGCTCGCCAAGGAGCCCTGAACAAGATCAGATGGCTTGGTCCTGCCCACGTGGTTCTTCGTGAAGAAGATGCTGAAGCTGATACTGCAGCTCCAAAGGTCAAGACCTACTGGCTCGCCTACAAAACACAGTTGATTCGCGCTGCGCCTCACCATGTCCGCGCAGACATCCTCGGACCTCAGCACGTGCTCGAAGACCTGCAATCAGCCCTCAACAAAGTGAGACAGCTGAAATCCCGTGGAGTCACTAGATTCTACGACTTGAGACGGGTGAACCGCCAACAGCTGGATGATGTCGAGGAAGATGAACAACACACTGACCCTGATGGTCCTCTGCTGGAAGAAGATGATGATGAGCCTCCCAGGCATCGCTTTCGCCTGGAGCCACCCGTGCCGACTGCAGAAGCACCACCACAGATCATCGTGCCCGATGATGAATATGAGCCTACCTCACCTGCTCATTCCAGCTTTGCACCGACGTCTCCCAGAGCACCACCAACACCAGTGATGGCAGAACCAAACATGTTGTTGCCCATGGCCCCAGCCGAGATCACTGTACCAGGTTCACCAGCCACCACTAGGTCCCGCTCACGGGCTCCTACTGTGGTCGAACCCAGCGAAGAGCCAACCATACCATCTGCAGCGCCCACACCACATGCTGCATCACCACCGGCTATTGCAACAGCACCTCAAGCATCAATGTCAGGGCCTTCACTGGACCCTGACACTGCAGCATTGTATGAACCAGTCGACGCTGAAACCTTTCAACAACGACGAGTTCGCTTCAACAGACAGGAGACACTTAGTTTTGGCCCCCTGCGAAGACAGCGCATTGGGTCACCACAGCCATACAACACGACGTCACAAACAACAACACCAGAAGCAGAACACAACAGTGCAGAGCACAACACACAAGCAACAGCGGTAGCCGCAGAAGCGCCAGCCCAAGTATCGGCAGCTCCAGCTGCTTCGGATGATCCTGCTCTCTATGCAAGTCAGAAGGCACCTGATCACGCCTTGCTGAATCATGCCTTCCAAGTCTCCGGCATTGAAGCCAACTGCCTGCCAAAAGGTTGGACCTATGAGAATGGCTACTTCCAGCTCGACAAGAGAGACCGCGACTTCTGGGAAGTCATAGCCGGATGTTTGATCAGACACCATGTGATCCCTCGACGATCCAAGATGTGCCTGCACCAATTGCCAAAAGACAGCCCCTTCACCTCAGATCAGCTTGATCTGGTTCGGGTGACCATTATGTATGACAACAACGGCAAAAGCATCCAACAGACCGACGATGGCTACACGGCTTCCACTCCCTTGGATCGCTCATGGACTGGAGTCACGATCTTCCAGATAAAAGGCGACCTTCGTCGAGAGATGGCCATGTTCGCTAAGGCCCCACTTCAAGGAGCACGACAGCTTGGCAAGGAGACCAAACTCCGGCACGCCAAAAGCTTCAAGAAAGACAAGAACAAGAACAACCTCTCGGAGCGCCACATGACTCCTGATGAGCGAGCAGCCTTCAAAGCTGCAAAGGTCAAAGAGTTGCAATCCTTCTTTGACAACCACGTCTGGCAGTTCGAGACCACCAGAGAAGCTGAGCCCAGTCGGGCGCTGACCAGTCGCATGCTGCTGAAGTGGTCAAAGAATCCTGATGGCAGCCCCCGTGCCAAAGCCAGGCTCATTGTCAGAGGCTTCATGGACCCAGACGCTTGGGAAGGAACTGTTCCAACCTCATCGCCCACAACCACGAGGCTGTCGAGATCCATGTTGTTGAGTTTGGCCTCCACCATGCAGTGGCCAATCTGGACTTCAGACATAGCAACCGCCTTCCTGCAGGGTCGACCTCAGACACGCAAGTTGTGGGTGCAGCTTCCTCAAGAGTGTTTGCAGTTGCTTGGAGCTACAGCTGACACCCGTATGTTGCTTCTCAAGCCCTGCTACGGCCAGATCGATGCCCCGAGATCTTGGTTCATGGCTGCAGTTGATAAGCTGAGCGCTATGGGCCTCCGACAGCATCCTCAAGACCCTTGCTGCTTCTTGATCTATGAAGGTGACCTCAACCCTGAGTATGACACCACAGCTGAGCACTCCAACCTGCTTGGACCTCATGGCCTATGTGGTATGGTCATCATGCACGTCGATGACATGCTTGGTTGCGGTTCGCCATCCTCCCAGTGCTACAACGACACCATCACCAAGCTGAAGAGCACCTTCAACTTCCGTGAATGGAAAACTGGTGATGATGGAAGGCCCTTGACCTATTGTGGTTGTGACATTCAGGTCAAGGATGATGGTCTCCTCCTCAACCAAACCAGCTACATGGGAAAGGTGAAACCGATCACCTACGACAAGAAGCGCAGCCTCACCGATGCGCTCAATCAGCGTGAGTTGACACAGCTGAGAGGACTTCTTGGTTCACTTCAATGGCCCGCAGTTCAAAGCAGTCCTCACTTGCAGAGCAGCACCTCGATCCTGAGCGGTCATGTCACCAAGGCCACGCTTCAGACAGTGGCCGACACAAATCGCCTGCTGCGTTTTGCAAAAGAAAATGCTGATGTTGGCCTACAGTACAGCCACCTGGGCGAAGTTTCAGAACTTTGTTTGGTATGTTTTTTTGATGCTGCCTTTGCCACCCGCAGTGACGGAGCCTCACAAGCTGGCTATGTGATCCTGATGGTCAACAAAGCTTTGCTTCAGGCCAATGGTCCCGAAGGAGCCTACCACGTGTTGGATTGGCGCAGTTTGAAAACGCCAAGAGTTGCACGCTCTTCCTTGGGCGCCGAAGCACAAAGCGGTGGTCAAGCTTGCGATGCCTTGGAGCATGCCAGCATCTACTGGAGCTTGTTGGTTGACCCTCGCCAGCGACTCCAAGAGCTCTTGGACGCTCCATCCTTGTTGTCGCCCACCATGATCACGGACGCCAAAGCCCTTTACGACTCCTATCACCGAGAAGGAGTCGGAAGCTCTGTGGTTGACAAGCGAGTTTCGCTTGAGATCCGTGTGATGAAGGATCGCCTGTCTTCACTGGGCGGTTCTTTGAGGTGGATGTCATCGGAGCGCCAACTGGCTGACGGTTTGACAAAAGAGTCGGCCAGAGCACTTCTTGCACAACGGCTACGTCACGGTCGTTTGAAGCTTGTTTGGGACCCCTCATACAAAGCTGCCAAGAAGAAGACAAAAGCTGAGCTCCAACAGAGTCTTGCTGAAAGCATCCATGTGGTACCACCACATGTGATCAATGAGGAACCCAACCTCCACGAGGAGCACCAGCAGCCCATCGACGAGAATCCTGCGGAGAATGACGTGAATGTCGATGAGCAGGTGTTTTGGAATGAAAAGATTTTTCGGAATTCCAAGGTTCCTGTGAATGTCATGTTGGCCAGGACCGACCGGAAGCTTGAGTATGTCTCCGACAGTCCGAGCCATGTCGGAAGCCGCCCGCTCGAGTCCTACCGCGGTCGTAAGACGAATTTCATGTTTTGGTTTTTGCTTTTGTTCATGGCCCCGCAGCTGGTCACGGCCGATTCGGCCAATGTGGAACCTGAAGCTGGAATGGATTGGTTTGGAACTGTTTTGTGCACCCTCCTTCTGCTTTTTTTGAGCACAGCCTTCATGGTTGGTCGATGGAGCCATGATGCACACCACCAAGTACCACCCCAGGTCACTGAGGCTGCAGTCCAAAAGGATGAAGCGATCATCCCAGCTCGCCTTAGAGAAGAAGTCAAACGCCTGAAGCAGGAAGTCCTGCGCTGGAGTTCCAAAGCCGAGGAGTCCCGCCTTGCTGCTGTCGAAGCCACGACAGCGATGAATCTGGTTCTGAGAAACCAGAATGCTGCTGAGACCCTTGCACAGGAAGCCTCCCAGATCCTGAAGATCGCCCTGAGGCAGATGGATGAGCATGGAAATGAATGCCCCTTCTACAATGGCATGATCATCAGCCGGCATGGCGCCAGATGGCACACGACCTTGAACTGTTCAAGCCTGGCCGGAAGAGATGAAAGCCTGCAGCGGCGAGTAGATTTCTGCCGCCTTTGTAGTTTGAGGGTGATTCCACCTGACCTTGTCGATGATCGGTCAGGCTCATCTGTGCGGACCTTGGTCTACCAATGGCTGGACCGGTTCGAACAGCGGAACTGGGGTGATGACGAAGGACTCTCCCCCATGTAAAGTTCACGCTGTGCACTTGTGTTTCGGCAGTTCGAACTGTTTTCGACTTACACTTACCGTCGTTCCCTCTCAAGACTGGGAGGGCAGTTGCCTTGCAAAAGGCGCGGCCGCGGCGCTTCAGTGCGCCCTCTTGTTTTCGTGTTTGCGGACTTCGGGTGCCGCTGCTACCTTTTTCGCATATACTATATATATATATTCCGGTTGTACTTGACGATAATTGCCTTCATGATTCATGCTTCAAACGGGAGCCATGTACCTCTTTCCAGATAGACACGGTTACAGTTGATTATATAGTGTGCTTGGCAGAGTCATGATAGACTCTGATAAACACCATGGTGGCATGTAACTCCAATCGCTAGCAAACCCATCGCTGTATGACTCAAGACTGGCGATGAACTTCATCCACCTTCCGTGCATCGCGTCGCGCATGCCTTTGCGCCGCCCCAAGGAATCGTCCCAGAACTGAGTGCGCCGTGCCGTGTCGGCGTTTGGTCCCGGGTCATGAGCAAGGTCTGAACTGGAGAAATCTAGTAGCTTGGAGGCCATTGCTTCTAGGTTGGAGGCCATCGCTAATGGATACGGGATGATACGGTTATACTGGCTTTCACGGGTACCAATGATGAATATTCAGGGCGCTGATCTAGTGCCTTTGTATTCCCTTGCTAAACATCTTCCAGAATTCTCACCATTTTCACCACCGTCACACGCTGGGCCCACTGACCTTAACGGTCTCCGGGATTTCTTCAGTTGGTCGAACCTGGGCTGAAAACTGGGCCAAGGTATGTAGTGGAGACACTTGACAACAACACACACATACCCACACCAACAAACAATGCTGACCTGCCAGCATACGCCATGAAGGATGGATCCTGTTCATTCCCTGTTCTATATGTGATATGCTGTCTGAAGATCTTAAAACAAAGTTCAACGCAAAATGCCTCAACCTACTTTTGACCGCTTTTGCATCTTTAGATGGAAGACTAATCTAAACTTAATGAGATGTATATATCAAAAGGAACCAACTGAAGAATGCAATATACATCCAACGGTCCGGTCACTGGGGAGCCATGACCCCTGGTCGTTTGAGTCCCGTAGGCCTCAGAAAGGGAAAAGCATCCAGCGGTCCATCCGTACTTTTTTGACTTCGAGCTATCTGGGGTCAGTGACTACAAGCTTCTTCTCTTTTTAACTTTGGTGATGATTCTCTTTCACAAAAATTGCAAAATCAAATAAAAACAACACATCAAGGGATCTGCTCCACTCTCCTGTCAACAGGAGCCGTGCTTGGAGTGGCCCATTCAAATGCTCCAAATCCCTGAAAAACCAAACATGGTCAACCCATCTACACTGTGGAGTGTCGGATGACCCAAATGACCCGGTCTGAGCATTGGTCGCTGCAACATCTGCTCGCGCCTGACAGCTGCAACAGTAGAGATGGATATATATATATATACTATTGTTATTACACACACAAGTATATATATATATATACACACTATACAAGGGATCAGTAGAACAGCACGATCAGCCATACCTGGCCTTCTCTGCATCTTTGAATGCTTGAATGAACCGCTTGTAGTAAGTGTTCCTCAGTGCAATATTGCACATGCCACATGCCGCATGCCATGTTTCTCTCAAAGCACGGTGCAGCAGGAGCTATTGAGGCATGCCATGGGACCTGGGTTGGGTTTCCTATTGCGGCTGAAAGGCACCAAAGCCCCATTGTCATCCACCACAGCACCTGCATGGAAAGAGTCTGTTGATTTCTGTGGCAAGCATCTATGTGATTTGTTTTCCTTGCCGTGTGCCCTTACGATTCCTCTCTGTCACGTCTGTCACGGAAGGGAATGCAAGCCAGTGCCTTCAACCTGCAGTGAAGGATCCTGTGAGGAGGCACTGGTGCTTTACCGAGACCAGCGGGAGCTGTTGGCTTTGCGCTGATAGAATGGGGTGAACGTTGAAGAGCAAAGGTCGAAGCATGACAAGATATGACAAGCTTAGTGACGTTTCAACAACCAAGCAACACATTCAGACAATAGTGGGCAGCGCACTGTATTCGCTTGCGGGAAAAATGGTGTCCCTCCCTGGGTGTCGTTCTTGGCCAGCAACACTGCAGCTGTCACAGGATGGTCCGCACAAGCGCAACTGCAATTGCCTCACTACTGACTGTGCAAAAGCTCATGGTACTAAGGACAACTACACCCAAACAACCTCAAACCCTCCCACAAATGACGCGGAAGTTCTGAGTTTGCGGATCTGCAGAAGCTCCTCCTCCAACTTGAAGAGATCAAAGACTTGCCCCGATTCTTCAACTTCAGGTGGCAGTTTTCTCTTGGAGCCCTAGGCAGGCTGGCGTACAGTTGCCGTCAAGTAGAGAACAAGCTGATTTCCAAGACATGCTTAAGGCAGGGTGCACCTGTTTGCTCTCTTTACATGTTCGCAATGCTTTGCAATCGTCCATGGCCACATGGTCGCTGCGAGTGTCGACCTCAGACCCGGGCTCCTGAAGGGCGTCCGCGTTTCTTCTTGCCTGGGGCCGGCCTTTCCCCCAGGTCCCGGTCTGAGATTTTGCGTTTGTTTTTCGCCCAGGGACCTCGGGCTCTGGTCCAAGTCTGCGAAACAGTTTCGCAAGGCCTATGTAGATCAACAAATCGCTACACTAGAAAGGTTTACAAACACTTCCTTGTACTCCCGGATGCTGACGCAAATAGTCTTTTCAAATCTTTCAGTGTGATAGCCAGTGGCCCCGTGCAAGTGCAGGTGACTGACTCACCTAACAGCCAAACCCTCTCTGATACTGGCCGAGCCTAACCATTTCTACAGGTGTTGAGAAAAGGCTTTCAAGGCTTTCAAGGCTTTGAACTTTGGTGATATGATGTGATACGGGAACCGCCTCACAGCCGAGACAAAGCAAATGGACTACAACTAGCGCACAAACCTAGCAAAGCTGCGGACTCCTATTATTTAGTCGGTGTACGTCAGGGGACTCGACCCAAAGACCCCAGTCATTCTTTGTGCCTTCATCGAGTTGAGGTGCCTTGGTCAAGGGCTGAGCTACTGAGGGACAGAAGCTGGCCAGATGAGTCCTAAAGTGGACAGAATCAGCATGAAGTGAAGAGTTCATTCTTGGAGAACCCCCCATACATTGAATCGAATCTTGCGCACAGCCATCACCAATCCATCGGGACAAAAACACAATTCCTGATTACATATCTAAACAAGTGATGAACATCATAATGCACGCATGCTCCTCAATCTTCTTCACAAACCTTGTGAAACATACTGCTGAGGATGCTGCTGCAATCGCATCATGCCACATTCCAAACAAGCACCGTTTAGTTGCGCAAACTTGGCGCGTCAACGATGGCGATGTTTACTTCAATGTGTGCATTCTGAGCCCTTGGACCTCCCCCATGACTTCTGCTGCCAGCTCTTCAGCGCTAAGCCGGTTGACGGCACGGGCCTCGGAGGAAGAGAAGGAATCCAGGTTTCCCAAGGCATCCCAGGGTATAGCTGGCTGGATGCGTGCACAGAAGATGGGGCCTGTTTTGCCTTCACCGCCCCGAAGGTACAATTATATGTGTATATATATATATATATTATATCGATCCTATGCCCCTAGGACCTGCCGAAAGGATGAGTTTCTATGAGTTTCTACTCTGTGGGTGCAAACTCGAAGCCAAGACACACACACACACACCCACCTATCGGGTCTTTCTTCCTTGAACAAATCATGGATGCCCCACATGCAAACTTGCCACAAACCCTAGAAACATGGTAGCCCAGTGCCAAATCTCTCAGCTCCTGTGCTCCCTTTTGGACCCTTTTCTGTCTCGCCACAAAGAGATCTGCCCCGACCATTGCGTGACTGTACATGGCTCACAATGGAGCTCTCTTCGGTGACCTGTACGTCGAGGCTTGCATCCACCTGAGCCAGTGACTGGATGAACTCTGCAGCGCCCCTTTCCTGGATCTGTAATAAAGGCGATGGGGATACCAGCATAATTGAGATCTTTCCAATCAAATTGAGGCATTTCTAGAAAGACCTTTCACCTCTCCTCAGCCTATCTGAAGGCCTCATGACTTGGCACGGCTGGCACGCCGCATCGCCACCACTGTTGCAGTGACTGCCAATGCAGTCGCCACCACGTTCACGGCCTCTGGCCGGTGTGGCGGTTTGCGGTCCAAAAACTCGAGATGAGACCTGGATACCTGGTGAGTCTGGAGAACTTAAATACCTGGTTCTAGGATGTTCTATGTAGGTCAAAACGATGACCACGATTCTTTGGTGACAATTGACTTAAAGCGCAATTGATCGGTCAGCGTGCCTTCCCTCCTCTCACCCCAGCATGCGCCACCACCTATGCTTCTCTCATCTAATTAGTTGAGCCCAGACCGTTCCGGGGCATGGTTGAGACCAGACCTCTCATTTCTTATCTCATTTTGTTGAATTCTGAGTTCCAGACCGTTCCGGCTCGGGTATCCCAGTTTTGGCCTTGGCCCAAACAACGGACATGGAATTGATCACGTTCGCATGCCAAATTCCCAATCCAACGAATGGTCAAGAGCAGTCCACTCCGAAAATGTCTACGGGATATAAACCGTTTTTGCATATGGAGTTGTTCAAAACCAAGTCAACGTGGAACATCTGGAATAATTTCAGAGAAAACATCAAAAATGCGTGAGCAGCATGAAAACACTCTGGCCACAAGGAGGAATCGATGTAATACACACCATGACTATGTCACTATGTCACCAATTGGATAGGTGAGTTGCCAACCCTAAGGGCCTAAAACAGGAAAACACTGAATAAAACACCACAGCTTCCAAGCTGCTCCATCGCTGCTGCACCCTGTCCTTGGCAGCCTCAGCAGCTAAGCCACCCTTCGCTAAGCCTGCATTCAAGGCCTTTCCAGCCCGGGCCAAGGGGCAAAGGTCAAATCCTTAGAGACGTGAACATAGTCAAAGCCTGGCTGAGCATGTGACGGAAACAACGCTACCAACCTGGCAGCATCTACTGGCTATATATGGCGTGCTTCATGTCGTTTCGAGACATACACTACCCGACTTTGAACAATCAAAATTCATTGCTTTGCCTGCCCACGAAGCCCATTGAGGTCATCCTCCCTTTGACATATCCACGACACGCTCCTTCTTGAGTGAACATATAATGACTGGCGCCAAGCAGCTGGAAGATGCTCCTTGGCTCCATTCCTCCACTCGCTTCATGAACTCATCCAACATCTCGCGGTAGCTCTCGGTCAAGCTTGGTAGCGTTAGTCCAGCCTCGAGAATGCAGCACCCGTTCCTGTCCTGACAATCTAGAAACTCTGATTTGTGACTGAAATTGTGTCCAGGTAATCCCAATTGACCCAGCAACACATGACCTACAGCATCACTGATTCCTTCGTTGGTGGCAGTTGCTTAGCCCAGCTGGTTGGCCTCAGTCACAAAATCGACCAGGAAGGAGGCGGTGGTCGCTTTGCCTTGGCGGGCGGGAGTGAGCATCCTTGTTGGGTCACGAGTGCGCTGAGACATGACATCATGGCACTCATCACGGCAGGAGGAGTGTATATAGCAAAGATCACTCTGGAGTTTCCAAGGCTTCAACATGTGGCGGTTGCTGAGGATAATCACGAATGCCAAACAGATCGGATTGCAGGTCTCCGAGCTTTCTCCATTGGTTTCTTTAGCTCGTTGATGTTTGTCAAACACCCTGCACTTGGACGAAGTTCTTCCGCCCAGGTTGCGATACACCATCTGCAACGACTCTTCTCTCTCTCGACGCATCTCATCATTGTAGGCCCGCTGTGCAATCAGCGGCCTTGCACGTGTGGCTACGTTCAAAGAAATAGAAGAGAATCCTGGAGCGTTTTGAGCAATGTAGGTGGGTGCAACTACACAAGTGTCATAAAGTAACTAAAGTAGTGTTCGTCACACTCAATCAAATGTAGTTATCCAGTGTAACCCGTAACTGGCCGCCCTCATGTCAGTCTCTCCCTCTGGCACGTTACGTGCATTCCAGGGGCAACGGTGCCGTCGTATCTTGAAAAGCGCAGTCATCGTCCGAGATGGACACATCGTTGGGAGGCCACAGGCCCATCTCCTCTGCCAGGCAAAGTCTTAAAGGAAAAGGCCTGTTCTTGGAAGATCTTACAAGTGCATGAGACATGCCACCTTCTTGTCGCCTTCAAACCTAGCCAATGTCCGACTCCTGAGGGTGCCACAATCTTTGACAGCCATGAGATAGCTGACTGAATATGACATCAAACACGACTGGATTCACTGGATGTGATCCCAACAGAAAGCCCTTCCAATTGATGCTTGGGATACATTGGCATATACGGACTACGAGATGCTCGCCCGCAGTCATCCAATTCGTCCACCCATCCTGACACGTGGCGACGATCCCGGACCGGACGCCCTCAGCACTAATGAGCCGGAAGGCCAGGTCGATGCTTTCCTTGGAGCGTCGAGGCCCTTCCTTTTCGTGGTGAGACTGGTGGGCGACGACATGTGAGAAAAGGAATGGGTCTTGCTCCAAGTTGTGCCCCAAGATATCTCTTTCAGCGTAAGATCAAACAAATGCCAGTCCAGCCACTGACAGTTCCTGTGTTCTCAGGTCCATGTTTTGTTTTTGGGCGGACTTGTTGGGTGCATGATCAGCATTCAAAAAAACATGCCTCGATGGACACCAGGACCAAAGCAACATTTTTTTCATTCATCAAGTGGAACGAATGGTGGCACATGAGCATACAGCATCATACCTTCCAAAATACAGTGCATCTAATTGTCCGACACTGTCAACTATTCCTCCTCCCAGGCAACATGAAACCTAGCTCTGGGGCGTTTTTGTACTGTAAATTGAATGGCAGGGTTGATCTGTTTTACAATGTTTTACGTATGCTCACCAGCCACCATAAAGCCAAGGCTTCCATGAGCAGCGGCTCTTGCGCTTGCACACGTTTTCTGAACTCGTTCACCTTGGGCATGGCCTTCTGCACAGCGGCCTCCCAACAAACACATCTCAAACATCAGGAGCAACAGCAAAGCAACAACATATAGTGATGCCCATATAGATAGAAAAGGTTTCCGATACATTTTTAGTGGGAACCAGCTTTTCTATCTCTTTCGGGACCACTATAATACTATATAGTCACTATCCAAACAACGATTCGAGTCTCGTGACTTGGGATGCCATGACAGGAAGGCCCAACTAGAAGTCTGAGAATCTGAACTTCAGGGATCAAGGTGCTGCAGGAATTCCAAAAGCCTGGCAAGTAACCATGCTCACATTCCGATCTCCATGAACCCTTGGAGCTAGGATCTGATCATATTCAAAGCTAGGTCACCTGGACGGATCCAGAGTCTCCGTGCTGCGTGCCTTCCATTCCTCAAGGTTGGCCATCTTCCCGCTCACATCCGACCCTCGGCGATGCAGGGCCGCTAAGACCCTCCGGCCTTCGACACCGAAGACCGTTCGACCATTCTGCTTCGTTTTCGATACTCAGTACATCTCAGTACCAGCTCCTTTTGATGGAATTCATCCAATTCCTCCTCCATTGACAGAAAAAGTCCTCTCACACATATGGTTTCTTGGGCCACTGAGGGGTAGAGGGTATGTCCAGTGGCACCCAAAACACAATATCCCGGTGTTGAATGGACATCCCTTGTCTTGAAGGCCGTGGACTTCTTTTTTTGAGAAACAATTCCGGGCAATGGCTGGCTTTTGCTGCTGCTGCTTGGGAGCCGTCGAAAGCATAGCTTTGGAAACGGCATCCACTCAAGATCGCGTAGTCCTGGCAACGTAGCTTGCACCCGTGACCGTGGCGACACTGTTGGGCCTTGTCGTTTTGAAATTATCTGTGTGATTCTGTGTGGCAATTTTTTGACACATTTATATGATTTTTATGATGACGACGACGACGACGACGATGACGACGACGACGATGCCCCATACCCCAAAGGTGCTGACTGAAATCAGCTCAGTTCATGCATACAATTCATTTGGCCTTGGTATGCATTGGCATGGGGGGACCTGTGCATAACCGTACAATGTATCTTTCCATCGGGTTTGTATTGACATGTCAGGTGACCCCAACCTGCGGAAAGGTCATGAAACTTCCGGACATGTCTTCGGGTTTTCTCTGAATCTTTTTGTGCTCCTGGCAAGCTTCAAGTAGCTCACCAAAGGGGGGGAAGGCTTGCGCGTCCAACTTCGTGTCCGGAGGTGCCATTCTCGATGGGCTCTCGGTGAAGCGTGCTTGAGATGCATGAAAACGCATCATATGGCCATATGTGGACTGTTGAACTCATGTTATATGTTAATCCTCTAAGACTCTGAGCCGACTCTAAGCCTTTGTTCGAGTCTCTAGAACCGATGACTGCCACACTTTGAGCCCAGTGAGGCACATCGAATGACCGTGCATGATTCCTTGTTGCGTATGTGAATGCGTCCAGCCTGAGAACACCCCAAACTTCCTTTGCGGGTCATAGTCCTCCTCTAGTGACCTGAAACATCTGCTCAGCCCACCTCAAAACATAGAAATCTGAGACCCTCTGGTCAAAGGCCCAGGCCCGGATAAAGGGGTTTGCGCTGCGAGCCACCATCTCTGAACAGCCTCTGGGAGAGTGAGCAAACATGGCCTAAAGAAAAAGAGTCAAACATGCAAATCATGCAGAGTTCTCTCTCTCTCTCTCTCTTTTTTTCTCTCTTAGGTGTTTTCTCCAAAGGCCGTGAGCCCCAATGCCCCAATAGGCAACGATCGCATCAGCCCGTGGTAAAGTCTATCCCGGCAGCCCGCTGTCTTTCAAAACCGGACTGGAAAATATGCCGCACCTCCAGTCTTGTAGGGCTGCTTGACCATTGCCTTGGAGGGCCCGCTCTCAGAACAAACAGGCTGCCACCTGACGAAAAACTCGTCTGACAACTCATCCTGGGCTTCTCGCAAAGCGATTGGTCTTCACCACATCGTGAACTTGCAAGTTGAAGAAAATGTCCTCACCGAGTGCAGCATCGCGTCCCCTCTCCGGCGCTGTTGCAGGCGACAGCTTTGTGACGCCGTTCGTCTCACGGCTCGTCGCTACGTGTCGCAACGAACCAAAAATGGTGAAGCCGACGTCCGGGTGACATGCTTAGCCTGACCCAACACCAGGGCCCATCGCTGTCTTCAAAAAATAACGTAATTACTTGACTAATCACGACAGCCAAACAACTACTTAGATTGTCATTCACATGGTCAATTAGCAGGAGGACATTAGGACATTGGCATATTCTTGGACATGTTCTGCAGAACTAATATGGGTCCAGGTAAACATATGAAACGTCTCAAGACAGATTGAAGAAATATATACGGGATACATATGGATACATTAGATATTAGTCTCAGAATGTCTTAGATATTATGTGTTGCCACCCTTCTCAGATTACACCGCAAGTTACAAGCTGGTGGCACCTCCCACACAAAGAGCTCTTGCCTTAGATCAGGGGCATTCTTCTTGGAGCAGGGCAAGCCAAGCTGGGTGATTTCAAGAGATGCCATCACTGGGCCATCACTGCAAACTATCACCTTGTTGCATGACAAGTTCCCCACAAGCAGTGCCAAGGGTCTGACTTGTAGTTGAGCCCTTCTTTCAGAACCTGTGCAGTTCCAAGTTGCTCATGACTTGCTAGAAGAAGGCCACCAAAGGAGGCAAGAAAATGAGTTCAGGCCAATAAGACTGTTTCACCCGACGTCGAATTCTTTATGCAAGTGTCGTAGCGCATTGAGCTCAGCATGCGGTTTTAAAAAAGTTCCAGGCTGGTTAGCTGTTGAAACCAACAAGTTTAGTTCCATTATGTTCCAGTAGATCCTCAAGTGGGACCTCAGATAGAGCAAGCCATATAATCCTATATACTAGTGCCTTATGCATCCTTTCGCCCTATGCCTTTCAGCTCAAATCTCCAACATTGGGTTCCCTTGACGTTCGCCGAACATGTGTTCCAAATTGGGTGTGTTCTTATTGCACGTCCGCATGGACTCTGTCGCTCTGCCTTGGAGATATTGAGCAGGAAGGCCGAGTACACGTGCGAGCGACCTCGTTAGGTCGAGGCGGGACCGGCGAAGACATGTGGGCTGGACCGGCGAAGAGGGTGGGGAGAGAGACACTAGAAACAAAGAAGAATCGTGAGGAAACTGAAGAGTGTTGATGAAACCAGGAACGAATCAGAAGCTGAACAAGGATGAACCACGGATTTCATTGGAAGGCTCTTGAACAATTGTGAACAAACACAAAACCTAAAACAACGTCTTCCTTGAGCATGCGGGCTTTGACTCTTGCTGTCACAGTTCCGGGGAATCTTAGCGGCCAATGATAGCAAGTCACTTGGGGCCGCTGGCCATACCGACACAGGGTCAAGGGCAGCCAGTGGTGATGTGAGTGAGTCAGCTTAGCACCGCCCCACCAGTCTGGGCATCAAGACTGAAGGCAGTGCGTGCAAGCAACAGCTCTGGTGCCAACCTCAAAACAAAAGCGCACCCGGAATGTTCGTCATGGCGAGGCCAACCCAAAGGGACACACACCTCATTGCATTGAATTTGAAATCCAAAATGGCCGTGCTTCCGACCACCATCCTCTTGTTTGTCCTTCCACGTGAGTTTCATGCCTTCCCGCCTGGCAAATCCGAAGAGCCCAAACTTTGGCAGTTCCTGGTGGGAAATACCACGCGTTAGGACAACTTCCCGCGGTCTGCTTTATGGTATTGTGGGGATCTGCAGGGATGTGATTTGCTGGATGACACCGTCTTGGCGGGCACCTTCGAACAATTTTGATTGCATTCTGGAGCTGGTCTGAGTGTCATAAGAATCAGGGTAGCCCTCCTCTTTGTAGAACTCAGGTGCGACAAGGTAGTCCATGACCTGCGCGTCTCGGATCTATACAGCTCATGGTTCATGATACTATGCATGGTGCATGATGGTGCATCTTATATACTGTTATAGCATGAGCCATGGATGAACCCGGCTAGGCGAACGCGCTCGTTTGACAGGATGTCTGGGAGACTCGGAGTTGCAATGAACCCTGACACTTAGACTTAGTGCCATATCCCTGGAAGCTGACAATCAAACTGAGCATTGTTGACTTTAAACAACCAGCAGAACGTGCAAGAGCTCAATTGAGGCAAAACCAACGACAGGCTTCCAACACGCAGGAGCACAAAGCATGGATGAACTGCTTGAAGGTTTCAACCGTAGCGGTGAGTCCCCCAAAGCGGCTGCAACATGAGGGGAAACAGAACGGTGAAATGCTAGGCATCAAAATGACCAGTGTATATATGGGTGGAATATGCCCCCGCTGACTAAAATAACAGGACCACATCTGATCCCGAGCAGGGTTTCAACAAGTCCAAACTGAAGTGCGACCACCAAGGTGCAACCTCTGACCAACCATGCGTCGCGCGGTCCAAAAGCTCGCCAAAATAACAAGGACCACAAGAATACATCCTGCCAATGGAGCACGCCAAACATCATACATCGAACATTACTACACCCTCCAACACCCACCCTGCACGTTGCGCTGGTCGTCTTACGCAACGCATCAAGAGTAGAATGACATTTGTTGAACATGGAACGTCATACCAAGTCCATGTAAGCCCCGCAGATATCATCCTAAAACACTAAAACACAAAAGGCAGCGGGACCGCTAGGGGCATTCACCAGCAAACTGCCCTCCAAGAAAGGGATGCTATTTGAAGCTCAGCAGCCCTTGCCATTGGAATGATCTTGCAGTGGGCCTCCGCGAGCATGCGTGACAAGCCATCGCGGACTGTTTCAGAGCGCTCGGCAGAACCGAAGTCTTTAAGGAACACCTGTTGATATTACTCACAAGCAAAGTTTGATGTGACATTTCCCCTACGAATTCCTACGAAGAAACGCTCCTTGAACAGGGCTTGAATCGATTTCGCCTTCGCACTGAACAGGTGAACCGGACCTCAATGAACCGCCGGCCTTGGATCCTGAAGGATGTCCAAATTGGCATTGCGCATCGTCCACCAGAGTGATTCCGCGCCACGAACGCACCGAGTCATCCAAGAAAAACGCCTGAACGGCAGATGACCACGCTGTGACTTCGAAGGTCAATACAGTCGACCCGGGTTGCCAGGAAATGAACGGAAGGGAGCAACAAAGCAGAGTATGGCGGCGATAAGGACATGAACGGAAGGAACAAGTGCACCTGAGCGACCATCGACCCTGTTGCTTGGTGAGCGGGAGGTCACTTGGGAGTTCACCATTCCAAATCCAACCCTCTTGGATGGTGACACACCAGTGGAAGTGGACATAGACCTTATTGATTACAGTTGATTGCAAAGTCAGGAGGTGCGCCAAGGCCAAAGCTTCCTATGTACCAAGAGTGAGTATGATGTCTTCGATGTTTCATGATGTTTCTCACACGATCTCAGAATGTATCATGTTGGTCGAGCCCCTTTTGTGTTAGTCAGGTAGCTTGCAAGCTTTGCAAACATGTCGTTCCTCCGTAGGTTCTGATCGATCCACTGGAAGCCCCTGAGATTTCGGCATAGTCCAGCTTAAGGGAAGCGGCCAGCCTGCACTGGAACTGCAGTTCACCCTTGACAGCGATACCACATGCGAGAGACCTCTTGCACACTGGTTGCCCGGTTTCTGCTGAGTCACTGAATCTGGATAATCTGAGGCACGTCTCTTGTGCGTCTTATGCCTGTCTCGAGTTGCAAACCCTTGAATGGGGGATCGCGCCTGACCAGCCAATGCCGCGCACATCCAACGCCCAACTCCTTCCAGTAAAGGCCAACTGGGGATTACCAGCCAGTTGCTGTGGCCCAGTAGCCAGGACGAACGTGCCCATTGATAGGTGGTCAGTCCATGCTACAGGTGAGGGATGCACCGTCGATTTGCATGACAAGTTTTTCCCCACCTTTCATTGCATCTTCCTTTCAATGAACTTCTTGACACACCTGTCATTTTCGTAGTGGTATCATCTCAAGATGGCGCACCCAGCCATCGGATAACTCCATGCAGCATGGACCAACCCAACTCCCTGCTTCGCCTCAGGAGTTTGAGCTCCATACTTCTGGTGCTGAACCTGGTGTCGAAGATAGTCCATCCAAGTCACAACTTTATCCCAAAGGAATCCCACCTGAGCCTGGTCTATCTTGTCAATTTTGAGGAAATGATGTGTGGTGGTTCAGGGGCAAGAATCACATGACGCCTTAGCCTTCAAGAATCACAAATTTAGCCTGAGGCAATGTGGAACTGAATGACCCACGCTAGATCTCGTTCTGCTTTTGCAGAGCAGTGCACTAAGGCTCATTAAGGCATTCCGTACCACTAGCCACCGAAGCATAGGGGCCAGTGCATCTCCTACACCAATTGCCTCCACATGCCACAGGCTGATGCCAATGTGACAGAATCAAACGTCCCACCCAGGCTCCCCACTCGCCCACAGCTCAGGTTCTGACGGTCACAACGTTTGGCAGCTCCATTACAACCTAGATCCCAAACAAGCAGCATGGAGCTTTTTGGGACCGATTCTCCATCCTACCCCATGAGGTTGGCTATATGCAGTATAATCTGTATATAATAATATATATATATATATATATAATGTAGGCGACCTTGTTTTGGAATGGTAGGGTACCTGGTAGGGGCAGTGAGTGTGGTGAGCAGAAGCAGCTGGATCATGGCTGGGCTCTCCACGAAAAATGGCGCGCTGCTCCGATACCTGGTATACAAGTGCCGGGGTTTAGTCGCCCGGGGTCGCAGCAAGTCACCCGGCCGCGTGGGCACGCTACAGTGAAAAGTCAACCAAGAGTGAAACACCATGGCCACGCTATGTACTACATCCTCCCTCCCCAAATCAAAATTTAATATGTTTCTTGCGTGCACTGGAACAACACGATCACTCTTGGATATTCTTTTTGTTCGGGTGTTGAATCACTATGGTCGCGCTTACTCCAAGTAGTGCTCTGAAATCATATCCTTCAGAAACAAGACACCTCGAGGTTAAACGGTTAAACATTCATGTTAAAATCTGTTATATACAAACAAAGGCTTCGCAAGTGCAGCACGAGTCGAAGCAATCCTGATCCCACGCTGAAGGGATAACACAGCTCAACATATTGAGACACAGATCCTGCAAGGCCACGCGTCTTCCAAACAACATAACCCCGGTACCCAGTAGCAGTAGCATGGTAAACCAAATACCGAACGTCTTGGCTTGCATCCTGGAACCTCCCCAGCAACCGGGCTGAGCAAGCTGAATCTGGGATTCTGAGAAAAACAAACCCGACAAAAGAATACAAAAGAAAGAACATTGTGTGGTAATCGTCATCGTGCTTTCCATGGAATAAGCCAATAAGCAGCCTGCAAGAATCAGCATGAATCAGCAAACACTTCGGCCGAGGCTCTTTTCGACTTCGGATGCTTTCACCTTACGGCGAAGGATGTCACTGAGATGTTCACAAGAAGCTCATATGTCCAACACACACGTTCGGCCGTCGAGCTTCTTGTAGAATAGTAGACCCATGTGGACCCTCTTGCCTATGTATCGCCCCACCACACCAACATCGAAAAAAACACCCACACAATCACACACACACGTCTAGTAGGTTGGAGGCCATCGTTAGTACCTCCAGTCCAAGAAGTCGGTCCCGGACGGGCGGCCCCCCATGGGCTGTCTGAGATGCTGGCGGCCACGATGTGCAAAAACTTCAAAGGCTCGCCGCTCTCAGTCACCATCGTGCTACTGAGGTCCAACCTGGCCATCGTGGTCTCGTTATAGCGAGCCCTGTCTCTGAAAAGCTCTCTCCATGTTGACCTTGAATGAAGGCTGCTTCAAAAACGTGACAGTCCTTAAGGGGAATCACAGTCCATCGTTTCAATCATGCTGATACGTTGAACAACTTCCGGTAGACTCAGGTTGGTTGTGTGGTTCTTTCAAACCTTCTCCTGTGCCGAGGACTGGTGATTATCTTCTTGCCGATGCTAGTTTGGAGCTCTGCGCTGACATCGGAAGAACTTCATCAAATTGGAGTTTGAACACATTCGTAGGTGTCCCGTGTCCTTTTGAACCCTCCACAACTTGCATTCTTGTTTGACCTTTGAGTTCTCGCACGGAGTCAAAGAGTGTTCTGCAGCAAAAGACGTCAACACATCCCCTTGAGCTCATCGCCTGACACTGACCATCAAAACAAGCCAGTCAAGACAGTCCGACTTCATCATCAAGTGCAGAGCGGCTAAATGATGGAGTCAGAATCTGAGAGAATCATGTTTATAAACATCAACTTATAAAGGCCTTTTAGCCAGCATCAGATGTACACATGATGCTAGATTCATACTATCTACCCACTGATTAGCAGCAAGGCAAGTGATGTTTTCTTCCAGTGAGCCCACCTCAGCACTGCTAGTCATGACAATCAAACAATCCAAAGTAACCAGTCTTTAGGGTCAATGCTAGGAATTGTACTGCAGGACATGTGGCAAATTGCAGCCGTGTATGGACAACCTGCTTTTCACATGGTCTTGGTGCCCAGGCAGTGAAGGGCGCTTCATTGGCAGCTGGCGGTCGTTTTTGTATGCCCTCGTCCTGCACAGCTTGGTTCCATGCTCTCCGAAGGGAAGCAAGGGCTTCACAACATCAGCTTCCCAAGATGCCACACGCCGAGGAGGCCGAGCTCTCCTTCAACTCTGTAAATCTCCAACCTTCTCCCCTTGGCTCCTCTAGGAAGAGCTCTCGAAGATGCTCTGGAATAAACAATCGGCTGCACCTCGGAGAGTGCGGAGGAACCACTTGGAAGCAGGCGATGATGGCCAAACGCAACGCGGAGAAGAACAATTTTTGGTATGACTTCTGCTCTCAACCTTTCAGCCTGACAAGCCGACGATCCTTTGCACAACTCCTGGATTCCTACTGACGAATCGACATCATTTGCTCCTTTATAGTATCTAGAACAAGTTTTGGAAAAGTTATTGGAACATCATTTCGCAGGAAGTTCTAAGTGCACGCTTTAAGCATGGACAAACATGCTCTTAGAACATCTTAGCACTGGACATTTAAACGTACACTTAGAACATTCATACAAATATATACCATTATATACCAACTTTTGAGGAGGAGATTTGGCACACATAGGCTAGTCGATGGGAACTTGGAGAGAATAAGCAGTGAAACAACAACAATCGGAATGAACCTCGCCTAATTTGTTCTATGATCTCAGTTGTTGGCTCCTAGGAAAAGTAGCCACGCGTGGTGGCGCTTTCCGACGGATGTTCCAAGTGTACACTTAGAACATGCATGTTCTAAGTGAGGGATTGTCGTTTTGGAAAAAACTGTTTACTCTAAGTATATGTCCGTCGCTATAATCTATATAATTACAACCAAAAGCTTGGAAAAGAATGACACTTCCAAACATGGGATAAACACGGAGAAGGCCCCAACACATACCTCTAACCCACACCTTCGAAGGCCCCAACACGTGATCCCGTCGCTGGGGTGCCAAACACACCGGACTCGCCCAAGGGGACTGACACCACGTGATCCCGTCGCTCGCTGACCTGGCTGGACACGAAAGAAAGAATGGGGCCTCCTCACCAGGAGAACCTCATATGGATCCATATGGATCCATAAAGGATGTGGTCTGGTTGGCTGTCCAAAATATCGGATTCAAAACACAAAGCTGAACTTTCCCCCCTTTTCGTGCGATGGTTGCAAGGTGACGACCCTTTCCGAGTTTCCGAGCATCTCGGATGCGGCTGCAACGGCTGTTGAAGGGGCGATGCACTTTGGGCCGGTCCTGTCCTTAGGCCGAGCCGATCTTCCTCCAACAGCTGAAAAGCAGCTCTTAGCCATGCTGAAGCTTTGCTGCGAAGTCAGCGCTTCGTTACATCGGCCTTATATCGGTTGCTCATATGAACTGAGAGAGCCAACACTCCATCCGACTGTTCATGGATGGTTTGACGCTTTCTGGCCTGAAAATAATTGAATTCCGCCACCTTCGTGAGTGACAGTGCTATGTAAAATATGAGTGTTGGACACAATATGAAACAAAACGAACAGTCTGAAGACTCAAAAAACAATCAGGTGTCTCAACATCTCGGCTCTCATGCGAACCCCACGAACCCCCACGAAAACGGCCTACTCCTCGAGCCCCTCACGTTGTGGCTTCCTCTCATTCAGTCGTCCAGTGGTGAAGGTGGGAGCCTTCTCATGTACCTGGCCAGGCCACCGCTAGATCTTGTTGACTGTCGACCGGTCATTGACCTCTGTGAGTTCAAAACTGACCTGCCATGGCAAAAAACATGGTATACTATGCATATCCATGCGCCATGCGCCCTTGTTTGTGGTTGAAATCAACGCTGCCAAAGGTCCAGACATGGACATGGACGGAATGCAGCATCGCTTCAGGATCCTGTGGCCCACCAAATCTGGTGCTTCCAGGCCAAACATGCCGAACAAAAAGGTGTGCCTCGCGTCGTCCTTGCACTGTGTACCACTCCTGGCACAGAATCTCTGCTGGTCTCGGTACGTCTTGGAACCTTCTCAAAAGACCAAGTCGAAGCTACAAACACCTGGTCGCCTCGTGAGCTGTGGAGGAACCCTTGGTACCCTTCACCCCGGTGAAAAGATCCAAAACGAACGCCTAAACAAAACACAAACCCTCCAGTGGTTAGGTTGATTGGGTCGCCCATCTCATGAACCGTTCGGCACCCCTCTGGTCCCCAAACCCCTGCCCCCGTCCCAGCCCGTCCCAAAGCTCTTCGTCCGTAGGATCTCCGTACCTCGGAGAGGAGTCGCCAAAGGATCGGGTGGTCCCCAGGGCTGAAGCGAAGAGACCCCCTGTGGTTGTGGTTTGAGTGGACACACACAATGGTTGAAAAAAGGATGAGCACCTATATCCGCTATATCATCTCATCGTAGATCTCCAGGCTGCCGCACTTTCCCACCCAAAGCCGCTTCATTTGAGGCGGCTTCAACCTGCATGACACGTGCACAGGGCACAGGCGCGTACAAAACACTTGTCAAGACGAGAAATGTGTCAACATGGAATTGGTGTCCCTATGTATCCCTCGTATTCCTTTCAGCAAGGGCAAACATCTTGAGGCTGGACCACCTGAAATAGATCTCTCCTGTCCATGCTGTTCATATGCCCAGCCTGTCCAGAGTTGGATACAAAGCCTGTGGCGGACCTGGGCACGTTGTTTTTCTAGCACATCACAACACGTTGTGACTGTGGCACTATGCTACTCACTATGCTGTCACTAGAACTTGCTGCGGATGCCATGTACTTCATCTAGATTCGTCCAGTCTGAATCCGTTCTTTCAACCTCCGGTTTGGCCAAAGGCTTTGTTTTAACCTTACATTGCTAGTCCTTCAACCTCAGATTGAGTTCTGAGCTGCCGTGCACTTCTTTTTTCCCGTGCCTTCCTCCTCAGACTCCACCTGCTCCCCAGGCTCCCCTGGCTCTGCCTGGCGTCCGTGGAGAGTCGGGGAGAAGCACCTGCTAGGTCTTTGGGCAAATCCAGCGCAATGGCCTCTGCCAGCTCTTCATCCTGACCTTGGCATGTTGCGCGCTTTGGAGCTCACTGGAGAATATGATGGAATATGAGGGCCCCCAGGAAGACCAAGTACATAGACATACATAGACAATCATGTAGACACAATCCCCTCCTCTATCCTCGTCCCCCTTCCCATCTCTCGCGAAATGTGCCAACTGGACACGCATTTGGCTGAAATGGGGTGGCACGAGTCTTTTCTGGCCCGTGCTTGCCAGCAGCATTGACGAAGGACATTGGGCCAAAAACGAGGCTCACATGCCATTGATATCACACAGCGCCAACTGGAGCGAATCACGCTGCCAAAAAGCTGCCAAAAAGATTAAGAAGCCTGAGGTGCCGACCACCAGAATCCTGCACAGGTTGAAAAATCATGTGAGTTCTGTCCGAAATTCCCCACATCTGGGAGCGGTGATTAGGACAGGGCATGGGGCTGGGTTTTCCTCACCGGTTTTCAGTGTATGCTCAATAAACAGCTTTTGGTTTCGACGTTTTTGGACGGATCTCATGTCCCCTCTTGCCCCTCTTGATGAGTAATTAGCCTGGAAGGAATAACCACAAGTGAAGAACCACCCGTCTTTCACGACCTCAAAAAGTCGTTGTTCTTTATCTCCTCTTCTGGGCTTTGTATGGTTTTGTTCGCTTCTGGAGGCTTCTTTTGGTTTCTGCTGGTGAGTCCCGTTCACTGCTCTGTCTTTTCGTCAACCTCCCTTCTTGACTGCTCTGACTCCGTCGGCCTCTGCGAACTCCCCGCACATCAGCCTCAGCGACGTCGAAAGGCTTCTAAAAACCAACCACAATGATGGCTTTCGGGAATCGAAAGAACCAAAGAACTTGACCCCCCAAAATACATACCTCATGCTTTTGGATGCCATCCATATGTTGTTTTGACACGTGGGCATGTTTAGTTGATAGTTGATGTAAATCATTTCCCGCATGCGAAACACATACTATAGCCTTCCTCACGCTATGAACCACTTCTGATCTGGATGACAGAAATGCCAACAAGCCACCACCTCAGAGGACTGAACAGTCCGGAGTGGAGTGTGCATATGGTTTCCAACATGCGTGAGTGTTCTCATGGCGCACCGCGCCATGTGAGGATAGATGGTTCTTGTCAGTCTGATGATTTCTGATGAGTCTCTGGTGGCTATGGTGATGAATCTCTATCTTTACGAACGTGCTAGTTATTGCACCACCCCCTTGAATATCCTTCAATGGGTTATTCGAAAGAGATTCCAGCAAATTGAGCATCTGAGAATCAAACTGCCTGAGTTCTGCGTCCTGCGACGCAGGATTCTGACACAGCAGAAGCAAAGGTATAACACTACACAGAACTAGCGGGCTAGTAAACAACTGGTACAAGTACCTGCCACACACAACTCTCAAACTGTCTCAAACTGTCAGGTCCATTTCTTCTGCAATGACAAGTCCTCCTTCAACGGCTTCTCTTCATCTTGCCCTGCGGTGAGTGCTTAACTCAGCTAACAACCTCACGCAGCCTCCACCAGTCTAAGGGAAGTGGGTGTCTGTCTTTTGCGGCCATATCACACATATCACGACCGAATGGAAAACCATCGATGCTTGGGCAAGTCGGAGCTTGCCAATTCCAAGGTCTTGGACTGGTTCTTGACACAACAGCGTATACAATATTATGTGATGTGATAGTTGATGTTGAGTGCTGGCTTTCCATGATGTGAACAACTGGACAACTGCAAAGCAAAGCTTTCGATCCGCATGGGCCACCAAGTGTGCTACATGCCGCAAAGGGAATGGGCGAAGAAAACCTCGTGTCCGCTTCTTGCCGCGCCAGGTAGAAATGCACATGCAAAGGGATGCTCTTCCGGAGAAACACATGGAGCTTACGGAGTGAGAATGGTCCCTTTGGCCCTTTCGGTCCATGGCGCCTTCGTCAAAGTCGGCATCCAGCGCCTCCATGACGTTCGAGGAAAGGCGGTGCCTTGGTGGAATGTCCTGGTATTCTAGCTTGCGTCCATCCCTACGTTTGTCCCTCAGAACGGTACTTAAACTCAGTTGTAAAAAAGAACCTGGAAGTAGGCATGCACAGCGCCCATGCAGTCAAGAGTCTTGAAGGATAGCACTTCGCATTTCCGCGCTTCGATGGTCCCCTGAGATTTTTGCCCGCGTTTCTGTCGCTGACAGTGAGTGGGCATGGAGTTCGCACCCACATCTCGGCTATCGTTCTAGTGCTGTGCCTTACTCTACCTTCTACTTTCCGGGTGCTGTCCAGGATAGTTGCAGCCACTGAGTTGCGGCCTAATTGCCTCTGTGTGCTTCACCTCCCATTTGCCAGACTGATTCGGAGGTTGGTTTTTCAGCAGCCAGACTGATTGTGCTCCTCCCCGGTCTAAGGACGTTGCTTGTCAAGCCACCCTTCCTCCGCTGAAAGGCCATGTTTGCCAGACGCACAGTCCCACGGCCAACAGGTTAACAGGTCAACCGAACACCCGGAGTCCGCCTCTGTGAAGAGGCAATAAGCTTTCACTGGAAACCGAGAGGTGAGCCGGTGCACACGACTCGTCGCCTGGAAGCCCGCAGATGGGTCTTTGAAAGCAACCTTATGTAGCAAGGACCGCTATGCTCGGTGGAGGCCATCGCAGGTAGGTTGGAGGGCCATCGCTACTAACTACTAGTAACAAGATGCTAGATAGTAACCCATGATGAACCAATGAATTAGGAGTATCAACGAGTCAGTTCCTACGGTTGCTCCTGCCAGTTGGCTGGACGACTGGAAAAGAAGCACGCATTGCTATTATTACTGCCAGGCCACCAGAGACTCAGAAACTTGCACGGTGGACAACTAAGGAGATTTGAAAGTGACACTTTGGCGCCACCCACATCCATATTGGAGTGACTTGAACATGTGGAGTAGGAACCCATGGATGCCCATAATGCCATAGGCCCTAGGCTTTCATTCAAGCTCTTCAGCCAACTAGCCACTGAACGGCCTCCGAAGGGAATTCCGTCTTCACCTCGTTTTCCCCGCCTGGCGCTCCAATGCTGGATTCCACACCCGCTCCAGATGGACCACCTGAATAGGCGATAGATCCCGCCGAGCTGCGAAGCTCTTTCGATCGATCGCATTCGGCCAAAGTTTTTCCAAACGCACGGTGAAATTAAATATGGTGAATTCCATGGTGAATTCCGTTATTTCTCGTTCGGCCGTGCGAATGAGTTGGCGAAATACATGACATGAAAGCAACAGTTAAGATGAATGAAAAGGTACGATGAGTCATCAGGTGCGAGCTCAAAGGACGTACATCACAGTCAGCCGGGGGGCGAGATAACATCAAAGGAACTGCGTTGAGACGATACGAAATGACACAAGTTGAAGCAGCTATGCGCTCTGGTTTTTAACAAGGGGAGAGGAACCCTTGCAAAGGGGTGTCTCAATTTGCTAATCTCGTATATATTGTCAAGGGTTGTTCAGGGCTAGGCCCTCGGGCTGCCCAGCCCATCCCTTGCTTTTGTTTGGGCTGCCAGTGGAAAGGCGTCCTAAGCTAAAACCTTATGTAGAATCTAATACAAAAAAGGCAAAGTAACTAGGGGAGCAAAGAAAACAATCATCTAGCATCATCTAGCCAATTGAACCGCCATCGAAATCTAGCGAAGAACTGAACAGTAGCGGCTGTCATTTGCGCCTAAAAGCATAGAGCATCAAAGAGCATCACGACAGTATTCTCTCACGACAGCTTAGGACTGTCCTGTGCTCCAAGCGCGAGCAACGGGTTCCCTTTTCCGGTCGCGGGTTGAAGGTCGATGGTTCCGATGAGCCTTTTGGCCCAGGTGCACGTGACCTTTCTGCCTGAAGAAATCGCATCTGTTTCAGATGGACATTCACTGAAGTGAATGATCTTCACTGAGCAACTTGGTCGCGGGTTTGCGGTGCTACATGGTCAACAACGGACCGTCAATGGCCAGTGGACCCGAAGCACGTCATGGACCACGTCATTGGTCGGGGTGTGTTTTTGTCTGGGTGGACCGCAAATCATATGCACCCAAATCATGTTCGACCTTCTGCAAAAAAAACATCAAACGTTTTACCTATGCGGCTCACTATGGGCCATCCGCGGCCTTGAGATCACCTGCAAGCAGAACAACTCCAGAGAGTTGCTTCAGGGGAAGGTGAATCGAACACTGAAGAGGCAAATAAGTTGCGCCCCATCACATCTGCTTCTTCTGCCCCTGCACTTCAACGTCTTCGATCAAATCACTGCGCATTTTTTCCACCACTGCCAAGCTCCACCAAAGGCCTTGCCGGCTCTTTTCGCTGGAGCAAGTAGCGCAGGTGCTCAAAACCGTCCCAGAACAGCATGCGTGACAAGGCCCCACAAGTCTTCCCAAATGTTCGAACACTTCCACCATCTTCCGCTACTGACAAGTCCCGCTCGTAGCTGTTTTTTTTTGCTATCTTTTCCGTACAGCTATATGTACAATTTCCAGACTTTGAGATGGGAACCTCGCTGAGAACCGTTGCCGGCCCGAAACGGAAGGCGCTGCCGCAAAGAAACCATCCGAATTGCATCGTCAGATCCTGGATATTTGGGGTCTCCGGGAAGCTACCTGGGATGAAGTCTTTTGCAAATCCCACTACTCCACGACATGAAGATCGAACCAGCTTGTGAAAATATGATGTTTCATATGAAGTTTAATGCAAAAAAACATACTGTAATCCTACATCATCATTGTAAATGCATGAGTGCAACAACCGCGAAACCTGCTGGCCTTGGTGACTGGGAAAAGCTCTACCAAAAACATAAAAAACATTGAAAAACACAAACATATGTGTTGACCAGGGCTGTTTCCAACCAAAGAAGCACCACCAGGCACAGCTGTTGAAATACCAGTAGCCCCCAACATGTTGATTTTCAGATGGTTGATCAGAAAAGGCATGGTGCAGCCACTGCCATCATGCACACATTTTCGCTTATTGTCATATCGCGTCGATTGTGTTGATTGACCTTCTAGCAGATTCTATACCCTAAGCCCCTGAACATGCTTCAGAACACAAGCTTTCGCATCGTCACTGATACAATCCCAACCTGTGCGGTCCAGGTGGCCCTTGAGTATTTTTTTGGCGGGGGCTGAGGCTCACATGACCAGCATCCTCTAGGAACAGCATCTTGCCACCACCAGGCCCTTGCCCTCGTTGCCCTTTGCCGCATGTTAAATCGTGAAGATGTTGACGTACAACCTTCTGCGACTTCTCAGTCTCAGCAGCTTCCCCAAACCGAAAGAAGCAACACGGCAATGCGCGCGTCAAGGCAAGCATTCGGCGACGAAAATGGTTCTGCGGATGCTCCAGAAAGGTCTGGAACAAAGGAATGTGGATCTTTCGTGCAAAGGATCGAGGGCATGACGCCCTCTTATGAACACGCAACCTTCGTGGCAGACAGGACAAGGGCAAACACGACTTGAAACATTCCTGTGCGACATGTCAAGCCATGATATCTTGACATCCTGGAAGCAGACCCTGCAGAAACACACACACACACCCCATGATGTCCTGAGCCACCTGAATGGCTGACTTCTGGAAGGCCGCTGCCACCCACGGAGGCAGATGAAATCACACGAATGAGTTGAAGTTGAAATCATGGGATTTGTGCTGTGCATCAAATGGCACAGCCCAAAGGAGCCCAAAGGAACCTTCAGTGGGAGCCTTCTTGATTGCGTTCAGGCCATGCGGATTTTGTGGTAGTCGTTCTGGAGCGGATAGAGTCGGTCCAACGGCTGACTGTCACAATCTAAAGACATGATGTTTGATACAATCTTGGCTTAACAAGGTGGTCTATCCACCCCAGGATGACTACATTTACTGTGAGCTGCACATCTATTGGCATCGATATCATATCATCAATCCTATTCCAGGAGTTTTGCCGACCTCCGGGGACTCCAGGGGTTCCCCGTTCCCTTCCGCAATCTCAACTCCCCCACACCCCTCTGCGAGTAACCTCATGCTCAACGGTCCCATTGCAACTACCGGGGCGGTCCTTCGAAGCACGGTGTGTCGCTCGGGAGGGAAACAACACGCCGATGTGGTGCGAGAGAAAGTAACCATCCGCCTTTTTGAGCAAACATCATGTATAAGAGCATGACCAATCGCGAGAGCATGTAGTAGATTAATCAGTGATGCACAAATCCATTATCAATCTCTTGGTTTTATGTTGTCTTAGACTTCCTTTCGTGCTTTCGAGCGGTTACTGCCCCTAGCAGCTGCAAGACACTGCGGCGGTAGCCGTCAACACATGACGTGAATGCACAGAGGAATTGCCAAGTCACACGGGATCTTCATGACTATGGTCCAACATTTGTCCCATCTTCACTCTGAAGAAACATGTAGAGGACCTCATCTGTTATCAACTCTTGGATGGAATTGTTCTTTGCCTCCCGGCTTCCTGGTCGAATGCACAACCAAACTCTTGGGATGGTCAAACTGACAGTCATCCGCGGTATGTAGTAAAAATATATATTATATATATATATTATTATATAACCATAAAATACCATCATAAGCACACATAATTACGCACACACACACACACATAAACATATATATATATATCATAATATACATGTATACATAACAGGATCCAGCACACAAAGGTCGCGAACAGGGTCATGCTCTATATCACCGCTGTGAGGTACTACATGAAAGACATTGAGTAACTAGAAACAAACAACACATCATAAAACATAATTAAAGACAACAACAACCACAGAACCCATTGAAGAGGGACCAGTGACCAGCCTGATGAGGATCCCGCGGTATGCATTAATTACAACTTCAACGAACACTTCCAGTCACACCTCGAAACGGCGAGTTTCGTGTGGAAATCTCGAGAGTGACTCAAGTGAATCGCCTATACCTAGGAAGTCTGCTGATCTGACAGCAAACTTCATGGCATGTTCTGCTGTATAGGCCCATGTGTCAACGCAAAAGCACCGTAGCGCTTTTCTCCGGAGCAACGCCGCAAAGAATGTGTGCCCTTCCGACGTAGGACGCAGGAGGACGTTGGGACGAGAAACGCCATGTGGGCAACTGAGAAAAGACCATCACATAGATCTCCCCGTTCACATCATTTCACGTGAGAAAAGCCACCTCTTGATTGAAGAAATAAGGCCAAACCGAGCTTTTCTTCACATCCGAGCTCACATAGCTGGCCGAGTTCGGGAGTCTGTTTTCTATATAAACCTGCCAAAAAAGCTGATGGGCCACGGGCTGTGCGTACCACTGGGAACATCAACATGTGTCAAAACCTATACACCTATAGCCTCCCAAACCCCAATGATTCATGGCTTAAACATTCTAAAATCTATGGAACCGTGGGCATCCATGGGGCTTATATACTTACCCATGTCGTGTCATGTCTTGTTCTAGGATCCTCTATGCGAGCGTTCCCGGGCTGCGTACCAAAAGAGAATGCCACGAAAGCACCTGCTGATGAGCGAGTGCTTGCAGCCTGAACATCGTTTGCGCGATCTGCTGCAACTTCCTGGACCTGATGATGGAGTCAAACCCAGTGCTGGGAGTACAAAGGCATCTCCATCCCTGAGTGTTCTTGAGAGCAAACATCTTCGTGTTAGGGGTGCACAACACAGAAACAATGAACTGCAATCTGCTGCCACATTTGTGGCAAACCGGTTGAGAAAACGCGCCACCTTCGCCGAATAAGTTGTACTTGTCAGCATATATATGTATATATCAGCATCCAGGAAGGGGCCTAGTATTGGCTTGAGAGTGGTCACACTCCTACCGGTTCCAAACACAGTACTTCACATTCCCGGCGCCTGATGGCACGCCAGGTCGCTTGAGAAAGTCACAGCTCCATCGAATTTCGAAAGGAATCATCGAGAGGCACAAGAGAAAGGCTTCCAAAGTATATCGTTATTTAAATCTTTGGTCTTTGGAAGTAAATATACGATGACGGCTCCAAAGTAAATCAGGCCTTCCAATATACTACGATTTACTGAAGGGAGGCCTCTGTCTACGACGCCCAGACCTTCTTCGTGAGCCTTTTCGGAAAGCCTTTGCCGTTGCCTGTGCCTTCTGATGCCCTCTCACGATGCATCCCCAAAGGCTCTGAAAAGCTTAGTGGAGATCTAGCCAGTTTCATGGTACTCAGTGAAGACCTCAAAGGAACATAAAGGAACTCTATAAGTCCTGTAGGAATATCTGGCGTCTGGTGACCCCTCTCTTCTTTCCGACGCCCTTCCTATAAATTAACATGCTACGAGTAACATCCTGGCAGTTCGGAAGCATCTGGAAGCTCACCTTCCCAATCCTCTGTTTTTTCCAATGTGGACATCGAGAAACCCGCTTGCTTTTTCATCTTTTTCAGCCATGCATCATACAGCTCGAAGTGTGGAACATGGCGAACGATGGATGTCAAACCGATCCACTTCAGGCGCCTCTGGGGAGAGCATTCAGGATTTCGTCTCGACATGGCTCGACGCATTTGGCGAAAACTCACACGGCACAGCCAGGTCAATGTTCTCAGCCATGCTAGGTGGCCTGTCTGGCAAGTGCATGGCACTATAAAGGTATGAGAGATAGATGAGGGAGTAACAGCCATGAAATATAAACCTTGAGACAAGCAGCAGCACTCTGGCAAGCCCTCATGATGGATTAGTGTTTTTTCAATGCATTTTGGCATCCCTTGCTCAAGGTGCCAAGCTGCATAGCTGTCCTGGATCTTGTAGCTCATGCAACTTATGCTACAGTGCCATACGAGGATTACAAGGATCAGTGATTGACAGCTCCAGCTACTACAAGCTTCTAGCTTTGAGACTCCGCCATTCTTAAGTTGGTAACCGGATGCCCTAGCACTTTTGGGCGAAACATGTTTTAACATCTCTCATACCTGGAAGATATGACGCCTTCAGGGAAGGAGATTCAAACAATCGCGAGCAAAGCTGCTTCGCCACAGGCTGGAACTGCTGCATCCCAAACAACTCGGATTCCTGCTACGATGTCTTCTAAGAAAAAACACTCTCACACCAGCAAGTTCAAGCCAATACCTTTAATCTTTACATCTTCATACTGCAGCCTCATTCTCCTCCTGAACTCTAGACACTTCACACAATCAAAGGCATCCCGGCCGCGCGAGTCGCGCAGCTTGGGATCGGCTCCGAATTGCAGCAGCAGGAGGGCGAGATCGGGTCGATCCAGGTGGATGGCCTTCTGCAAGGGATAGGAGCGGAACCATCCGAAGCAGGTGGTCTTGGGGGCGTTCACATCCTCAGTGTCAGTGTGGTCATCCAGGACCCAACAGTGAAATCTGTGTTGTGGCTAAAAGATCTAAAAGGATACTAAAGGCGGGTGAAAAAGAGCTGCAAACTCTTGGAGCCTATCCGGCCTATGCAGCGTATCCCTCCCCACCATGTTCTTTTAATGGAGACTAAGGATGTCAAATGCTTGCACAACTGCTTGCACACCAAACAAAAAACAAGCTCCATAACGATCAAATCAAGACCTGGGGATAGATTGAGAAGGTACGTGAAAGTCTAATCAGATCTAATTAGTAAGCTAAGTTGGTGAAGACCCGCCAGGATGCTGGCCTCTTCTCGAATTCTGAGATTGAATGCCGTTTCTGGTGAGGAGGCACCTGCTGTGGCCATACACGGCACGGCAAGGTACGGCAAGCATAGCAAGTTGAGCTAAGCGTCAAGGTCGAACTCATGTCCTTGTAGGAACTTCTTGATCGTCTTGCGCAACTTCTCATGGCGCACTTGACGTTTGCGTTCTTCAGATTCCTCCTGGGACATGGTGGGAGAAGGGGCGGCCATGAACATCCATGAGACAAACATGACCAGCCAAGTAAACCAAGGGCAACACAGCTCAAGTCAACCAAGCGATCTTAGCCTTCAACACCAAGAAGTTTCTCACTTCCTGCAACTGACTCTCACTGCTTCCCCTTCGCAACCCCCCGGTCTCCCGGGCCAAGCGCCGTTGTCGGAAGGGCTCCGCCGCAAGGATTTCGGATCTCAAAAGGCTCGCGGGTGCTGAGACCCTCTTGCAGCGGCCTGGAGAGGCTACCCCAGGGCTTTTTCAGTTTGAACCCGGCTGTTGGCTTATTGGACAATGTGTTGGCCCGCTGCCACTGGGCGAATTGAACCTTTGCAAATTGCAAAGTAATGGCACCACGGTGGAGACATGCGGAGACCCATGGTTTCATCGTAAAGAGTGGAAGAAAAGCCACGGTGGAACGGGCACAGGTGAAATTTCGACCCGAAAGTGATCGACTGCGCTTGTTCGTTCCCTCGCCTCCCTGCTGGTGGAAACTCTCGAGGCCGATGCTCGCCATGCTTTGAGCTTAAACAGCTCTGGACCAATGCAAGCGATGAGAATGAAAACACTGCAACAGCATGACACATGATTGCTTCCTCCTCAGTGTGTATTCTTGAGTATGAGCGGCTACCCTTAGAGTGATATTCAAATCCCTCAAACGACTTCTGCAACAAACCCGCAGGCAAAACACCTGAGTGTCAATGCTATAATGATTCAATGGCTGTTGTGTGCACTAGCGACAGCATTACACATACCACACAAAGCTTGAATGCCCTGATGCCCATGACCTCAATCAGCCCATGCACAACGGAGTGGCCGGTATTCACATGATGCTGTCAAGCTGCGAACATGAGAGCACTTTGTGCTGCAAAATATTGCAAAATCAATGCCAAGGTCATAGGCTAAGTTGATGTAACTTCAGTAAAGAGTTAAAATATATTAAAATATGTTGAACAGCTGGAGCACACCTGTATTTTTGCGTGGTTGTATCCTTAACTCATCTTGACTCCTTCGATCTCCTTCACTTCTGCTGATCAAGCCCAAACGGTTCCTCTCATGCCGTGGTGCTCGACATGTCGGCAGTTCGACTGCGCTTCGTCGTCGACGCGGCGTGCGACGAGAGCTTCGCCCGAGCTCTTCACCCAACGAGCTTCAGGCAAGTTGAGGCCTCGTGATTTGCAGCGGATGAGGTAAACTTGCTGAACTCAACGCGATCACCAAATGGCCAGATGTGTATATACATGCCTCCTAGGTGCTCTTCTAGCAAGCTCCACGGTTTGGCAGTTCAGTTTTGGGGTCTGGGATTGGAGACTTTCTGTCCTGCTCTGTTGCCAGGCTGCTGCAAGACTGGTTTGCTTGTTGTTGCATGGCATAGGCTCGAGGGTGGACCGTCCATGGCAACTAAGGTACCACAGTGCACAAATGTTGAAAGTAAAGTACAGTAGAGCCCTGATCAATAACCCCCCCATATGAAGAGGTTCCTTCACGCCTCATGCCTTCATCTTTGTTTCCGTGTTGCCCTCATCCACCCGGCCTACTGCTCCGACCCAAACAGAAAGCAGGAGCACCTCGCGCGTGCCAGGAGGTGCATGGTAGTCCATCAAAAGAGGATGAAGAACACAAACCGTGTGAAGCTGAGAAACACATTCTTTCTGAAGTCACTAGCACTATTATCACTATTGTATATATATATATATATGTATAGCTCCAACATGCTCCAACCCTTCTGAACTGCACACTTCCACATGGATCCTAAAGTCTTCTCAGTGTGTTCGGTTCCAAATTCCCAGACTCGACATCCCCACTTCTTTGCCGCACATCGCAAGGCCTGCGATTGAGCTTCTCCTGGGATGGGATCTGCTTTGAATTCGCTGATGATCCGTTCTCGCTCTGCTTGAGGCGTGTCCTGAGGCAGAGGACCACGCGGAGCGCGCGCGGATCGCGTGCGGATCGCGTTCGGTTTGCCGATCGCTGGGTGCCAGGCACCCCGAAGGATTCCCGGTTGGATGCCGAACCTGGAAGACACGAGCAACAGCGATATGATCCATCGAACTCCCGGCCACCACGAGCTGCAGATTCGATGGAGTTTGTGCTGCTCAAGAAACTGGTGATTGATGATCATACCATACCTGTTCAACTCAACCGTCCGACAATGCACCCATGGAGAAGTGGGAAACAAACTGTGGCCCCGCACTCCCTCTTCACCAATGCCGCAAGAAGCTCACTCGTCACCTCAAGCTCAGGGCCAGTCACCAGTCCACTTTCACGGCATCGGCTCCCCAAAAAGGGCACCCCTTACTACTAGGAGCAAGGACGCTAGTAGGGGCTCCTGGCATCGCTACTAGGAGCAAGGACGCTACTAGGAGCTCCTGGCCTTACTACTACAACCAACAAGCTGATGAATGGCGATTCAACTCATGTTGCTCGTGCCGGGCATCCCTGACCGTCCGGCAAAAAAACACCAGGACCTCCGGGCTGGTGCCGCTTGCAATATGTTCATTAACTAAGAACGTTCAATTGTGTGATTTCAGTGTCACAATTCTTGCAATGACAAAGTCTGCATCTCGCATGCGTATCCATGCGCACATCGAACATCGGTGCAACGGCCCATCCGTTTGGGCCTTGTCTCTTCGCGCATGGATACCGCGCCTGGGCAGGAAAAAACAGAGTTCGCAAGGATTTTATCATGGTATCGGGAGGTTCAACATCCCTTAGTTCTGTTTCTACTGATCTGATCTGTGTGTAGTACTGGTTGTGTGTGTACGGTGGATTTACGACACAAAAACCGAAAGACATCACGACATGCTGTCATGTCCAATGTGGACATTGAACTCCACAAGAGGCCATATAGGCATAATTAGGCATAGGGTCATAGGGCAATGGAAAAAGGGCAAAGCATGAGTAAAGCTGGGTCGCAAATGGTCTCCAAAGCCAAGATCCCAGCAAAATGCCGAACAACTCGGCAAGCCTCAGGTTGTGGTGGGGAACCGTTCCAACATCTCCCTCCCGGTCCCTCCCATGATCGCTCTATTCTAATGGGCCTATGGATCTTGGATCCTGTGTGCGATGAGCACACCACCCGACCGTTTCTGAACATGTCACTTTGATCTATCGTCTTAGACATGAAGAAGCCCGTATCAGGCCACATCAATGGTTGAACGTTGAATCAAGAAAGCTTATCCCAAGCAAATAGTGTTTATGGCTTAAACTAATATATATTCTTAAACAAAACTTACATATGCACATGCATACCTAGAAACAACTACTATACATAAATATTATATAGCGCTTGCGCTTTTGTGAGGTCAAGCCCAAGCAGCTTATCATCAAGAAACTAGTGACTGTCAAATTCCACCTGTGCACCTGACTTGCCACTGTCGTTGATGTCCTGTTCGTGAGCCTGTCAAATGGCATTCAACCACACTCTTTAGAGTTTAGAGCAAACGAACATACCTTGGCCAACAGCCGCGGGTGCATAAGCCTGGAATGGTCTATTTCTGGTTGAGAACACCTGTCTTGCCCACCATGTCGGCAAACAACAGGGCGGGAGAAGGACACTTAAGGAGATAGCACTATCACTAGCAAAATGCAACATCTCCTACCCTCTGTTCCAATCTGATCTGTTCAATTCCTTTGGATGCCCTTCAGCTACTGCGTGCCAAAGGCAACTCCTTGGACAAAAGTGACAAAAAGGCTCACATCTAGAAGAAATGATCCGTTGCACACTGCAGGTGACCAGCACTACGCATGCTGAGTCAGAATTCAGGCTTGACCTATACTGAGTCCTACAACGGCTTGCGGCATTTGATGGTCGGCAACGTGGAAGCGCCAACAGCCGCTGAGGGCTAGGTGGTCAGCGTCCCACCTCGGTGTAGAAGCGCTCAGGCCTCAGAATGCTCAGGTGAAGGCCTTCAACAAGGAAGAAATGGATGTGACAAACGTCACATGTGCATACATTGGCATACATGTGCAAGGTGCTGCAAGAGCCTGAACACTTTTCACTCACTCTTTTCATAGAGGTTTTTGTTAGGTCTATATCGATATCTGGCTTGATTGGCTTCGCCATCGGCACTTGAGGAATCCATCCCAAACTTGCTTGGATACTCAGCCTTGCACGTCAATTGGGAGAAAACCACACAAAACAGTGTTACCATCTGGTGGTAACATGAACGACAATCTGGGTCCTGAATGCTCATTCATTGCCATGTATGTTACCAAATATCTTCCAATATGTTGGCGGTAGACGCCTCAAGTCTTCAGCTACCATCAGCCTTGCACCAAACCAAGCTCGCATGGGACCATGTGTACCAAACGTGACCATGTGACCACTGCCCATGTGACCCATGGCCATAGTGGTTCAGTCCCAAGGGGAGGGGCAAGCCATCATGGTCCAACTCATGGTTCATCCATCTTTGAAGAAGTTGAAGATCCTAGACATGTGTGCGAGCTGAGCTAGGCCTTTCAAGCAGCTCGCGGCCTGCGAGTCTTCCGCTCAAGAACTGCATTGTCTGAGGGTCTGAAGCCAAAGATTCCCTCTTCAAACAATGCCACATAGGAAAATGGGCCAAGGGATTGGCGAAACTCATCCGCTACTTGAAATACAGAAATAAGATTGGCATTGCTCAGGCACTGTACAACAAACGAACCAACCAGCTGCTTGCAAAGCTGCTTTGCTTGACAAGTTGGTGAACAGGCTGCTTTATTAACGCTGCACGCACCTGTGCAATGCGCTACAAACACATCCTCACCCTACTCTCTGAACGATCGGCCGTGAAACCCAGAACGCGGCCCGGCTTGGACGGGCACACAAGAAACGATTGATCATTCAAACACTGTAAGCCGGAAACACGAATCCCCTACCTCACAGATTGTTCAGTCATAGAAGAAGACCCGCACTCTATCCACGGCGAGGGCAATCAGCGCAGGCAAACATCATTGGCTTGTCTGGATGCACACACTGGGTCTTTTTGGA